GCCGGCGGCGGCGGTTTGTTGAGTATTTATCCACGACTGTGACATCAGTGATTAAAGCTGGACTGAACCCTATTTCACGGAGGGCAGCCTCCCATTACCGTCTACCTTGTGCCACAGCGGGTCCAGAGTCGTCAGAGTCGAGGCCGACCCGCTTCAGGAGAACTCTCCAGTCAACCTGCAGACTAATTACACCGAACCGCTCCGTCCCTTTTCACCTGCCACACACAAATCACTCTGAGTAAATAGTTTTTTTTCCTCCCCTCTCTCCCCACATCATTACCAAGGACATCTTTTGAGACACTCGGCAGAAAAGCAGCGATGAAAAGAGCTCTTCAAACCACATTACTGTCGCAGCAGAGACGGGGTCGTCAGCAGATGTCTGGCTTTGGAGGATTAATCTCCTACAGATACGACATCCGAGCGTCTCCATCAGACGAGGAACATGGGACAGGCGTTTGTTTCCATTTGCTCTTAATTATGAAGAGATCTGCCTGGAGGATCTGTGAGCCTGCAGACAATCTAATACCCTCCAGTTATTTTCCAGTGCAGTGAATCTGCAGTAAAACGCTGGAAGATAAAATGTAGAAGTAATTGACTAAGAGTGAAAGAGGAGGGAGGCCTTCACCCATGTGCACCAGATTACCCAAATACGTCCGCCTCGTTGACCTGCTCTAATCCTTCTACGATTCTAACACCAAAAAAAAAAGAGTGAAAGGAGGACGGCGTCGTCCAATCAGAGACTCTGTGAGTCCGGCGTCATTGATTCTTTATCCAGATGAGGATCTATGAGGATCTATGTCCTTACCCACGCTGCTGCTGTGCTGCGTATCGATCGGTGCAGGGCTCTATGTGCTGTCATACCTGCACACACACACTGTACAGTACACACACACACACACACACACACACATAATCAGAGGAACAAACAGACAGCAGGGCTGCAGCCGCTCAGGATGCCAGCGGCTCCGTCTGTGGGGACTTGGCTCGGGAAACGGGGGCGGCTGGTACAAGTCCTCAGCACGGAGGTTGGACTGGTTCCTGGTGTGGTGCCAGTGTGATTGGAGGGGGGGCTCATGTATGTTCAACATATGTGTGTGGATGCATGAGGTCTAGTCTGAGCATGTGCAGAATTTTCAGCTTTCACAGGAGAACTAATGAGTTCATCAGGTCTGTTGTTAGAGGAGGAGGCTGGAGTGTTTCTATTGATCACCTGGATTGATCGTTGAAAAACAAACTAAGAGGTTCGGTCTGATGGCGTCACAGTACAGAAGAATAAAGGAGGACAAAGACGCCGCCGTTAGAGTTGGAGTGAAGGTCGTTACACACCGCTGAGAGGAGAATAATTCACTTTTTATAAAAACTTCATATAGTCAACGCGAGCTGCTGCAGCGGCTACAAACGTCTGCAGAGCGAAAAAGTGACCGTAATTCTTTCACCTCTGTAGCGAATTTTTATGTTTTGCGTGGTGCCTTCTGTGGTTGGTTAGATTTAGGCGCAAAGGACTGATGGATCGGTCTGGGATTGGTTATCTGCTTATCTCGTTTATTATCATGAAGAAAATAAAAACAGATTATTGAACGGGGAAATATAAGCGTGTGAAATGTCAGGTGTGGCGTGTGAGAACGGGTCAAACTGGGTGACTGTCACACTCACAGCGTGACGCTCAGCAGCTCTGTAAAATAAATCCTCCCTCAGACGGTTGGCGAGCCGTAGCTCTGGATCAGTCGTCTCTCTGAGTCAGCTGATGGAGCAGGTCTTGGAGGTCTTGACATCGTCGGAGGGACGTTCAGAAGTTTTGTCTGAACTTCTCAGGATATAGTTTGAGCTCCTGGATGGTTGTGTGGAGCTCCCCTGGGTCAGTATCGGATGTTCTCAGACACTTGGATTCTTTGTTTTTCTTTTTATCGTTTTACAACCATGACCGGGTCATCATCCCTTCAGAATGTAGTCGCCCTCTGCTCTCCTGTGACGTATTTTTATGTGAATTTTATTCACGTCTCACCAGGTGTGTTTAGGAAAAGGTGTAAGCCGAATATTTTTCAGTTTTGCGTCATTTTTTTTTGTCGCTGCGCTGATTCGCCGGTCCTTAATGACCTTAAGAGGCTCCATCTAAGTCACCCTCAGCCCTGTCTCACTCCTCATCAAATGTATCATCGATGCTTTGTCAGATTTTTGACGCCGTAGGTCACCAAACTTCAGTTTTCTTTATTGTTGAAGTGAAGAGTTGAAAGGAGATTATAGCTCATTATGAATGAACTGTTACTGCACAGAGACCAGCATGATGGTGGTCCACAGGACTGACTTTATAGTGATGAGGTCCTTGAATGAGCTCAGGACAGACGCCGAGTGACTGTTTCACTCAGACTCAGATGAATTCGATGTTCGCTCCGAGGTTATCATGACCCGTTTAAAACCGACTCTCCACGTCTCCTGTAGTTCTGTCACTTTATCTCTCAACACAAGTCCTGGTCTCCGTCCAAGTGTGGAGGTCAGCGTCACAGCGGGTTCACGGTTCTTATATAGATACGAACACAGAGTGAAGCACCATCTCAGGACGGCGAGTATTAATATCAGTCAGGAGAGGAGATGAGGACCTTGGTGAGGACACAGAGGGTCTCCATGACAGATTCCTGTGTCCTCTCAGCTCAGCCTCAGATTTGATTTATTGTCCGTGTCCAGATCGAGTTCAGGCAGACTTAATCCAATCAGGAAAGGTCGACGGGGGGACATTAACTCTGGTGAGGAGGGGGACGAGAGGACAAACGGTGTACTTGAACCGGACAGGTCAGGAGAGGATCTACTGTCTCAGGACGTCAGTTTAAAGAACTTCATCATGTACGGAGGTTTAGTTTAGAGCTGACAGAGAGGCAGGCAGACGGAGATATCAGAGGAGGTGTAAGGAGGAGGAGCAGAGAGATCTCCTCCACAGACCGGTGTAGGTGTCCCTAACTGAGAGAGCGAGCGGCAAACATCAGATGGTCTCCCTCTTTCTGGGTGGTTTCCTCCTCAGTGGGACTCGCTGATCTGAGATTTTCAGAACAACCGGAGCGTCTGATTGGTTGGGCTCCCTCCCATGTTGACTCTGGGATTGTTCTGTTTGGTCTCGAATCGTCGGGTAGGGTCGCTCTGAAAAAAAGTGACGTTGTTGAAGTCTGTGTGCCAAATCAGTGTCGGACGTCAGCCGGAACACTGACTCTGGAGTTCTGGATCCAGACTAACTTTCTGCTGAACGGTAAAAAAACATTCGCAGAGCTGCGTTCAGAAACTACGATGGTTTTAAAAACAGCAAAGCTAGCAAAGGGTACGAATCGCCTGAGACGAGCAGCTCCCAGGACAAAGTCACTCTAACATCTGCTGTTTTTTATCGCTCTGAACATTTCTGTCTGAGATAAACACGACCGTCATCGTCCCTGAGAGAGAATCTTCTGTTTCCAGACGGTCGGGGTCGTTTCTCTTTATTTTTCCTCGATGGATCTGAAAGGACCGCTCAGCAGGATTTTTACAACCTTTATACCTATTTTATGTTTGATGAACTGGATTAGTTTGAAGGCAGATAATGTTTGGACCAAAAGTGATGATCTCCTCTGGAGTCTGGTCCTGCTGGAGGTCTCTGCCTGTTAGAGAAGTTCTTCCTCTTCACTGTAACCTGATAAACGCTGTGAAGAGTTTCAGTCCTGAGGATAAGAGAGGGTCTGATCTCAGAGGATGGGGCTCAGTCTGATCTCAGCTTTGACTGAAACGGAACAGAGACGATGAAGGACTAATGTGACGAGATTAGACTCAAACTGAAAGATGGTTTCTTCTAAAGACTGATGCAGACAAAGTCACAAATTTCCGCCGTAATCAACACCGAAGAACGAAAGCGAAGAGTTTCCTCGCCAGTTTAGGAGTTTTAGTGGATTTTTTAAAAAAGACGTGGAAGAAAACCGAGTTTGTTTATTCAAAGTTTCTGAAACAGGTGGTGATTTATTGACGAGTTTCTAGTCAACGATCAGTCGAGCCGATTAGTGACAGCTGTAATCTGACGACTTTTAGAGTCAGCTGTTTTCATGAAGTCTGTCAAGTTCAGGAAGTTTGTGTCGCTCCACCTCGTCCAGTTTTTTCCTTTGATTTGGCAGCTGATCTGACATTTTAGTAAGTTTAGAAAGTCTTCAATCCTTTTTACGTTTTCAGTCCAATGAAACAAACTTGTATGAAAACATCTGGATGGACAGTAACAGGTACGTCAGTCTGAGGTGAGATATTTGTTTGTTTGGAGCTGAATTGAAAACTCTCCGCCGTCAAAGGTCCACGGCAGAGAAGACCCTCACCACACACACACACACACACACACACACACACACACACACACACACACTCTCTCTCTCTCTCTCTCTCTCTCTCTCTCTCTCTCTCTCTCTCTCTCTCTCTCTCTCTCCGTGTCCACACATCTATTTCCCCGTGGACCGTCTCTCCACTGAAGAGCACTTTAGATCCACATCAGGAGAACTGCTTGTCAGAGGAGTTTTCCTTCTGGGGGAGGTGGCTTCGCTTTTTTTAAAAGGACACCAGAAAAAAGAACATTCTAGGATTTCTCGCCATCATCCTGCAGGAAACGAGAAAGACCTCGCTGTCGGAAATAGTCCCGTTTGTCTCCAAGACGACGGGACAGACAGCTGGACGCACCTTTACTCTTAATCAGGCGGAGCTGGGAGCTACTTAGTCAGAGAGGAGAGGAGAGGAGAGAGGGAGGGAGGGAGAGGAGGGAGGGAGGGCCGCCGTGTGCACACACATAAAACACTCTGAGACAACACACACACACACACACACACACACACACACACACACAGAGTCGATGAGGGCTGAGACAAGGAGAGGAGGGGAAGAATAAGAGGTAGAGAAAGAGGAGAAACAAAGAGAGGGAGGAGGAGGAGGAGGAGGAGGAGGACTGTTCTTCTTCTTCTTCTTCTTTAGTCGCGTGTTGAAAACAGAACCAGATTCCTGCGAAGCCGCTCAGCAGGATGCCTCAGAGGAAAAGAGCGTTCACGTTTGGAGCTTACGGAGGGTAAGAGACTCCTCCATTACTCCTTCTGAGTGTGCCGTGAATTTGGGGACGTTAGCTTCTTCAGAGCTAGCACTAGCTTACCTGTTGAATCAGTCACAGAGGAGTGATAGACGCAGGGAGGTGTGAGACTGTTGGTGCACCTGATCCACAACTGCAGGACAGGACAAGGTCACGGCGTCCTCCTCATTTACATCAGAAGAGAAGACAGAGAAGACGGATGTTGAAAAGATAGATTTTTGATGTTAGGCTGAGCTGTTCTACATGTTTGTGAGACTTTTCAGAAGTTTCTACTCTTTAGAAAAACTTACAGCTGCAGGTGGAGAGTTCTGCAGAAGAAAATAAGCTCGAATTAACTTCACTAAAGTTTTTTAGGTTTCTGTTGTTGGAGGTTTTTCAGCTCTGAGCAGAAACACCTGATGTTCACGCTGATCAGCTGATGAACATCTGTTCACTCTAAATAACGTCAGAAAATCAGTCAAATACTGTGTTTTTGTTTGTTTGCTACAGCCTGTCTGTCATCTTCTACAACTCTCTCACTAGATTAATACACTCTCTCCTCCTGCTCACTCACTCCCTCTGCTTTACTAACACACACACACACACTCACTCCTGACTCCTGATGATGATCTTAGAGGTTTTATCGTCTGTATTCTCACACATTAAACTCTCAATGTTGATCCTCTTGTTTAGATGATTATTAGCGGTATCTTGATATTGATCCAATATTGTCACAAACTTGTACATGACTAGTTTTGCGCTCAGCTGCAGCGTCTCTTTGGGACTTAAACAAAAACCACTTCACACTCCTCGCTCCTTTGTTCGTACTTTAGCTCTCACTGTTGTTGTGATGACGTGGGCTCAGGTTGTTGGATCAGGGCGCTGCTAGAAGGAGGTGCCGGAGCGGAGTCTGGAGTGGAGTCTGGAGCGGAGTCTGGAGTGGACTGCTTGTACTGGAG